GGTATAGAGACCAAATAAGGAAGGCCTAAAGGTTTAAAGTTCTCCCGTTGGCTAAAGGAGGCTTGCTATGAACGAGCCCCAAACCCCAAAACCCTATACCCCGAAACCCCAAGACCCCTTAAATCCCCTCAACTTTAATGTCGTATCATGAAGCCCAAGGCACCCGGGTAATTGCCCTTGTAGTGCACACTTGGGCAGCTGTTTTGGGTTCAGGGCTTAATTCGGGTTAAGCGGGAATGGGTCCCGGTCGAGTCCAGCTACCTGCTAGCCTACATATACTCTTGTAGCTATAATCTAAACTCCTAGTCTCCCCCTTAATAACCCGTTGAATACTCCCCAACATGATTCCCTATATAACCCCCTTTAAGGAGTTTAGACTACAGCTGATAAAGACTACAGCTCATAAAGGTATCTGGGCTCTCTGGGGAAGGGTGGGAGATTCACCGAGGGTTTCCCAGCAATCCAGCTACGGCCACGGCCAAAACTCTACAGTCTACCCTCATTAATACCCTGCAATTTGGCCAGCCCTGGAGTGCTGGCTTGGTACAGTTGGATGAGCAGCCACGCTCCACCAGAGAACTCTGTGTCAAGAGAGCCCCCCCAGCCCTGAACCCTACATCCCCCGAACTTCTGAACCCTAAACACTGAGCGCAAAAGCTCCAAAGCACTTAATCCCTCAGGCCCCAAACCCTACCCGAATCCTGTTGAAAGCAAGGCTCTGAACGAGCTGTGCGCCCAAATTTTGGGACTCCGCAGGTGGGGTCGGAGTCTTTGCTTTGGGAATTACTCGTGAAGAACCTGGGAGTTGAGGATAGACGCTGGGCTTTGGGCTGTAGGGTTTAAGGGTTTATTGATTTAGAGCAGTTTAGTGTCATTTACTGTCTTAAAGGATTGAGTCTGGGCTGTGTAGTTTTGAGGCTAAAAGGTTGTAGCTTTGAGGTCAGGATTCAATCTCATAACCTTTAGGGCTTAAACTTGGGGGAGGTTATGGGGTTGGGAAGTTGGGGGCTTCAACGTTTATATACTCAACACACCCCAATCCACACTTCTTGACCTTCAAAAGATCTCTGAAAATGAATAGGGCGGATTTGTTTCCCTACGCCTTCATTTTCTTGGAACAACTTGTTGGAATTTAGGAGTTTGGGGCTTGGATCCTGTAGCAATTTACGAGGGTGTCGGATGCTGGGCCCGTGGATTTTGGGCCTGAAGATCACAGACTTGCAAGGGTTAAGGTTTCCACATAGAAGAGAAGTGTTAGCCAGGCTTTTAAGGCATTACCGCATTGCTCCCGTGTAGGTGGCTCAAAGCACTTGTAAAATTTTGAAGGTTCTTTGTCTGGGGCTTCGTGAAGGTTGCCACCATCCACACCGCTGCCCTGCTTTGGATTCCGACTCTTCACTTCAAACGGCTGTCAAAGCCTGATGATCAGTGATTAATTAGTGGCACCAGAGAGACCTGCATTGGCTACAGTTTGGCAATGATTTCCATAGCATGCCAAAGGAAGACCACAGGGCGAAAAGGTAAGATCGGTATCCACATGACGTAGCCATCAAGAAGATCAGGGAAACTCGCACCTCAGGGTCGTATCATCAAGGCATACAATAATGCTCTCGTTGGGACTAGGCTTTAAAGTGAAGCACCAAAGCGAATACCAAGACGCGTGCCGCAAAATCACGATCTCACTACTAGCATGCATCCGACCCTGCAGGACCTTTGGATTGGAAAGCCGCAAGCACTAGGAGACCCTGTGAAACCAGCAGGCGGTTCGGCATTGGGGCTTCGTGGTGCTTGAGTTTGGAGGATTGCAGGTCGTGACTTGAAGAATTCCTGCCATCGATATCTGCACTCCGATTCCGGAAATGTGCGAGATTTTCGGTAACCTCTGCAGATCCCTCAACAGCACAAATTACTTACCGAAATCTTTGCAAGCTCTCCCCTTCCTCTTCCCAGAACCTTAAAATCAGCAGGCTATGTCGCAGCAGTGCGATCCATGGGTGGAAGCGGGAAACAGCAAGCCAGCCCGGACATACTTTTGTTTTTCTTTACACCTGCCATGCGGCTCGAGGGTTACATGGCTGGTGCTTATTTGTTTAGCGTTTAGGCTGCCTACCGGACCACGCCTGTCATACTGCGAGCTGTTTGCTCCAGCTAAGCTGATGCAGAACGCGCGCGCCATCCGCGGGCAACTACGCATTGCGCTTTTGGACCAGACGCAGTCACGACTACGCCTGTGAACGAGCCTTCCAACTGACTGGGACTACTCAGCACTCCGCACTGAGACGTAGATCTTGTTGGAGCTACCGAAACATCACAACATGGCGAAGTACAGCGCTCTGTGACGTCACGCGCAACGCTTGTGCCAAACCTGCGCAATCCACCGAACGCACTCGGCACCCTGGCTGCAGCTGGGACTCAAGGCTATGGGCGGACTCAGCATCCAGGATGCTGAAATGGCCTTTGCCACTCGACAAAGTCATCGCTCCAAGTGCAGCACAGCATACCAGAAACTCGTAGCCTTCTGTTGTCGCGTAGCTTGCGGTGCACGCAAGCACATCTGGCCCACCGCTGGAAGCGCGTAGAACGCCCAGGCCATCTAGCTCATGGCACAAACTTGCAGATACGAGCCTCCAGGCTGCAAATGTCAGCGGGCTGGGCTGCCGGCCCGAGGCCTCAAGTTCTCGCTCCTCCAGGTTCTCGTCACCAGGTCCTCCGCGCAGCCGCAACAAGACCAGGGTGTGCGCTGATTCCATCATGCAGTGATCCTCAGGTTTTCCACGCTCTGACCTGTGACGAGGGAAAAGGCAGCTCCATGCGCGCATCTTTGTAACCTTGCGCCACTGCTGACATCTGGGCCGCAGGGATCTCTAATCCAGGCACAGTTGAAGGGCCCGCCGGGCGAGAAAGAAGTCCGTAAGGAACCTGCACTTTCGCCAGGCGCTCGCGCAACGGAGCTTCAATATCAGGTTGTGCTGGGCTATGCCGCCACACAAAAAAACCATGCGCATGCAGCAGTAGCGCTCAAAATGATGCCCATCAGCAGCATTAGCATCACCAACAGCTGTGGCCAAAGTCCGTTTGAAAGCCTTGCTTGGGGCAGGCTGCCCTGCAAATGTTTCTCCAAATGCATAGCAAATCTTTTGCAATTGGTCATCTGCTGGTCCGCTCAAGCTTTCCATGCGAAAGCCCTGCGTCGTTCCATGTCGAGGAGCAGCTGCGCGTTTTGGGGGCTAAGCGGGATGCTGGTATACCCGTTTTCTCACCAGCCTCGCGCAGCCGTGTCACGGAATCTTTAGCCAGCAGGGGTGCAGAGGAACGGGCTTCAGCAGTCAGAGTAGCAGGAACACCAGGGAGCGCGCGGTCTGTGAAGCAGCGCGCTGGCCAAAACCAAACGAGCAGCATCCATGTCCATGGCCGCATTGCGATCGAAAGGTAACGCATTGCTCCGTCTACTCTATGACCAGTGTTGTTCGCCCGATTTATTACTGTTACTCTTACTATTACGATTAGTATTGCTATGATGCATCACCCTGGCAGTGCCATATGCTCGCCTGCTCCGAGAGTCTGAGCAGAGTAAAGCGTTTAGGGTTTAAGGTTTAGGGGTTGGGGTTTGGGGCTTCGGGTATAGGGGTTAGGGTTTGGGGTCTAGGGTTTCGGGTTTAGGGGTTAGGATTTGGGTTTAGGGTTTTGGGTTTAGGGCTTGGGGTTTAGGGTCTAGGGTTTTAGGTTTAGGGCCTGTTTGCAGTCAAGATTCGGGCAGGATCAGGACCCATCCTTGAGACCGAGACCGGCTCTCAACCAACCAATGAAGGCCCACGAGAGGTGTGAGGTCACATGACTTGCCAGCAGACAATGCACCTGCTCCGATCTACATGTCCCACCTTTCTCGAAGTAGCACAGAATCTCCGACTAAACCAAAGTGATGGAAAAACTTGCTAAAACCAAGGACAGATCTTGATATTCGAAGCACAGCTGTACACAACAAGACTACGCTACGAGAGAACTTCGTACCAAGCCTTCCTGAAGAACACACGAAAACAGGGGATTTGCTAAATGTCTTCAGCTTGAGCCAGGATGCCAGGCTGCGACGGTGAGCAGTCATGGAGCTCGCAAATGCATCTTCAAACAGCTTTATATAGGGGTTATGGGGATAATAGAGCACAACATGGAAACTACAGACCTCCATTGCAACGCTCACGAAAAACCTGTGGAACCCTCTGCCAGCACATGTCTGTACAATCTCAAGAACCGTTGCCAAACCTCCTCCACTTGCGCATGATCAAAAACTGCAAAAGACAAAAGCTACAGCTTGCATTGCCGCTTGTAGGCCCATACACTACATGCAATGCGACCTTGACCATGAAGTGTGATCTCTACACCGTTCTGGGTTGCTGCTAAGGAACTTACGTAAACTAACTTACTATAACAAGGAAAACCCTCCTATTCACCATATACCCATATTCTGGTAACTGAAGTTGTGTTTCTTTAACGGAAGCCCAACATTGTACCAGTAAGCCCAGGATGGAGTTTCGATTTTCAATTCAGCAATAGCCGTTCCGTTCGGTGCCTTTCCAAGCCATCCTGACAAATATCCTGTTTGGGGATCCAAAGTTTAGATTCAGTTTAGATTCAACGAAGCATCTTGACTTACCAAATAGCATCCAGGCCAACATCTTGGCACACTGCTGAAGAGCTTCTACAAGAGCCACATGCACACAGCTTGAGCAAACAACTGTTACATCAATATGGTGACCTCTGATGTCAGAAACAATCAGCAGAGCGCAAGTACACGCACACTCACGCAAAGAGAACGGCTGTTTTCTGGGGTCCTGCACAGAAGTCCTGCCCAGTTGATTAGCTTCCACCAGATGAGCAGCTCTAAGGCTTGTGACAACACTTCGCCTCTCATGTGTAAAAGTTACCAGTACTTGTGAAGGGAAAGGCGAGTGTTTCAGCAAGCTCTTGGCGGCCTGGCTGCGAATTCTGGAGCTTTAGCTTCGGCCTCAACAGAGCTTCGAACTCTTTTGGGGTCCTGGCATGGCCTCGACTTCGCCCTCGGCACGCGCAAGAACATCGCGGTCCTTCTCAGCGAGCTCGCGATGGATGATCATCGGAAGTGGGATTTCACTCCCTGCCCCATGGCTGCCCCGCATGTAGAGCCAGTACTCCTGATCAGGATAGCCCTTTGCAAACTTGACAGGCTGGAGGCAACATCCAGTCAGGTAGGTCAGCCCAGTCTCAGATACGGACCAAATACCCCAAGCACGCCGAAGCCAAGAATCGCAACTCAAGAAAGCGCTCAGTACCGAGGGCGTGCCCACCAGCACAGGCGTGGGAATTGGGTGGAAGCAATCCTTCTTCTGTGTTACAGTGATGTCCTGGATATCGATGTCACAATTAAAGAGCCGCCCCAGCATCTTTTGGAAGTGTTCTCTCGCCTTGCCCAGGCCCGTGCTGTGCTTGGCATCCAATTGCTGGTAGGCGTCAGTGACATCCTGGAACTCCCCTCTCTTGTTGGCGGTAGTGGGCCACGCCTGCACCACAAACCTGCCCTCCGGCTCGCGGAAGACGTACACATTCTCATGTTCGGCATCCAACACAACCCCATCGCCTGCGAGCATGATCAGGGCAGCATTCAGACACAACAATGCTCCCCTGACCCATCTAAGCAACAGTTCAGCAACACCCGAGTCCAGCAACAACACACCTCGGAACCTGTGGTCACACCAGTGTCTCATTTTTTCCCTGACCCTGACAAGCAATTGAACTTGTGATTTATACTTGCAAGCAATGATGGGAACGGTGATAGCCAGTAGGGGCAGCAGTAGCAATAACAACGTCGTCGTAGAAGCAAGACATAGAACAAAACGAGAACAAGAATGCTGGCCGCAATAACAATAAGTGCTTTGGGTTGAAGCGTGCGTACTGAATCTTGTGTTGCCGACAGTTCTAAACAAGTTTCAAAGTTCCGAACTCATCATTTGAAGCAGTCGTCCCACGGAAAAGTAGTGCCGATATGGTGCACAGTAGATACTCAGCCGATGGGGCTTTGAAAGCTTCTCCCTAACAAAAAATATCTCGCGCCGACATTCTCCAGAAAAATAGATAGATTCTCTAGAAACAGTCCAGTTTCGCAATGGCGCCCAGTGTATATTTGGGGATGAAGTGTGAAGCTCGCGCATGTTAAGCCCTCTCTATGAGAAACGCCCTGACTTTTGCCCATTCGCGTTCTGTGTGGTCACTCGCGGGTTGGGTCCGTCACAGTCAAAGAGTACATACTGCAGAGGCGTTCTGCAAGTGGGCGCTGCAGGGACATTTTGGGGTTTGGATTTAGGTTTAGGGTTTATGTTTGAAGGTTTTAGGGTTGCATTGTTCGCTCAAGGAGAACATAAAATTCTAACGAGCCATAGTCTAAACTCCTAGTATTCCCCTGAATAAGGAATCGTGTAGTAGTCCCTGAAATAACCGCTTTAAGAAGGTTAGATCATGGCTCCTTCCACTGCGAGGATGTGAGGGCGGGAAAAATAGAGCGCAGGCAGAAGGTAGCGGATGGGACACAGAAGGGGTCACCAGCCCAAAGCAGAGTCCGGAAGCAACCACACAATGCACATAGGAAAACGACAGGTAAGTTCGTAGAACATGCATCCCCCATCTTCGCTAGAGGCTTCCAAAAACATGACTCAAACCGATTCATGGATTCACCTCGACGGCCACCATGCCATTGGCAAGGGTTTTTGCCGGAGCAGTTTCTCACACTAAAACTGGAAGTTTGTCTGGACATAGAGGAGGGACATACATGGGAGGGTTATCCCAGGAGTTTATCCGGATGAACTCCTGATGGGCAATCAAGAGTACATATCAAAGGGGTTAGGGCATCAGGAATCATCGACGTGGAGTGCTCATGGCGCTTTGACGTGGACCGGAAGCCTGAAATAAAATCCTTTTGGGCCTAAGCCGCAAACCTAAACTTTTCGCACGCCTCCTCCTGACCTCCCACCATCACAGTGGGAGGCTCAGACTTTGTCATCTTTATCGTCGACTGCCTCGCACTATCACTCACCTTTCCACCGGACCAACAACATACACGAAGTAGAATCCGGCAAACAGCCAAAAGGACCCGAAAATAAAATCCTGGATGAAGAACTGATGAAAACAAGCTTTAAGCTTTAAAGCTTGAGCCCCTAGACTTCATGTTACCGCACCCGACCTTTATTCTGGACAATGACTCAAGATGTCAGCATCCCCTTCAAGCCCGCCTATGACCTGTGGAAAGGGATAGGTGAAGATGGTGGTGTGCTCCCACGCGCGTTTGCCAGGAAGACTGTTGGGCTTCTCCGCACTTCCCAGCACGGTGATTGTGTGGAGCGACTTCCGGCTGCGAAATTCCACGGCCAGGCTCCCGCAGTTGAACGCCAGTCGCGGAAAGCTGCTGCGGACGTGCTCGTGGTGCTCCATAAGGGGCGCATGCTTGCGCACAGCGATCTGCACTAGGCCAATCATTCGCTTCAAGTACCTCTCACGCATAGCTTCCGGGCCTTCCATCCAGGGGATGCCCAGAAACAGGGCCGGGAACAGCTGGAACAGCACGACAATTGCGTAAGGGTGCATCATAGCGAGAGAAGCTGACCTAGGCATTGGCGGAAAGCTTTTTGGGATGAGCTTGGTAAACGCTGTGCCCCACAACGTTGACTGCGTGTTGGCTTCAAACCGTTGAAAGGGTTTACAGTCCTCTTTGTGGAAGGCGAGCTTTGGATTCTCGCTTGTTTTGCCATGACGTTGTAGAAGCAAAGGATGCATTCTTGTTCATTCATGCTCGGCCACCTCGATGCCATTTCGGAAAGATGCTGGTACTACCTTCTTCACCTGATCTGTACAAGTACTAGCGAGCCCGCATCTCACCCTTAACTGCGACCCAAGCGGGGAAAAAGCGAGGGGTAAAGCTACTTGAAAAGCACGGAGACCAAACGCACATCCAAGCTGCGAGGTCACGAGTAAGACCTGGGGATTTTCCGGAAATGATGGATCACGTTTTGGGTCCCCGAACACAAGGATTAGCCGGTTGTGTCAATGCATGCAAGTCTGTCAAAGTTCTCTTAAGCAGGGCCCCGAGAATCCCCTCATAATCCCCGAATGTCCCTAGAGTCTCTAGGGTACCCCTTATGCCATCCCTGTATAAGCGGCACCCCTTCTCGCATCAATGCCCACCTTGGCGTTGCGGATCTGCTGGCAAGTGGAGCTGTGCAGGCTTCTCAGCTCTTGTGTCTGCAGCTCCTGTCACAAGACACAAGGTCCCATAGAATTGCACTGATTGAGGGATACTCTCAAGTAGCCCTAGTTTGTTCTATCATCGCTCTAGTTGGCCTATAGTGTAGTCCCCTATATACTCCCCTATACAACCCCCCTTTAAGGAGTTTAGACTCTAAACCCTAAACCCTAAATCCTAAACACCCTGAACCCTAAACCCCATATAACCCCCTTTAAGGAGGAGATTGCGGCTATGTTGGTCCTTTAAAGGGGATGAAGGGATGAGGACTAGGTAAAAGTGATTTAGGGTGCTCAGGTTGCCGAGGAGGCCAAGGTGTGCCGAGCAACCTTGCCTCTGGTTGTTCAGGGGTTTAGGGTCAAGGATTAAGGGTTTAGGGATAATGGTTTAGGGTTAAGGGTTTAGGGATGATGGTTCAGGGTTTAGGGTTTAAGATTAAGGGTTTAGTGTTTAAGGTTTAGGGTTTAGGTTGTTTTTAATGGCACCTGTTCTCCTCGGGATATAATCCTTGAGGGGGTTTGGGGTTTGGGGTGCAGGGTTTAGTTTAGGTTTAGCGTCCTCTGGTCGATACCGCGAGAGCGCCCACATTGCAATGGAGCATCTCGCCGCGAAAACCTGGTGAAACAGAGGAAGCTCCTAAAAAACAGAACAGCCATCCTTCCAGGTATTCGAAGGTACAGGCCTCTGGGAAAAACCTTTGCATGACGTCCTGCCCCGTGATCGAACCCACGGGCAACATTGCAAAAACAATCAAGCACACCCGCCGCGCGCTACATGCGGCAGGCACACGAACGAGTGACTAGCCGAGTTTCTGCCTACAGCCAGCCTCCAACACACTTGACTGCATGGACGTGCAATGTGGACAAGGATTCTTGGCCGCGGCCACTGCAACGCTGCTTCCGTTCAACTGCGGATACTACTCCTAAAAGGGACAAGCATATGATAAGGACAACACTAACATTAAAAATGACGTTGGTAACAAGAATAGCTGCGGCTAGGGTGCGAGGTGACAGGCAAAGGCATGTGCCAGGTGGAGAACCCGTTTCATTGCCATCAGTCTCAGCTGGCGTTGGTACACTTGCTCTTGGTAGTTCTGAGGCTGGGTAGCTGCAGCAAATCTTTTGGCCTAGCAAGCCAAGCTTTCAACTAACAACGAGACAGCACTTAGCTCAGAAAGCAGTTTCACTGCAAGCATAGCCACCACCTGACAGGCCTTGACTGGTGGGACCTTCCCCACCTCAAGCAAATCGAAAGTACATGCTAAGGGCAGATGATTGCAACCTCTTGCAAAGCAGACCATCCTGTGCAACCTAGGGATCACAGCCTCTGTGGCTTGCATCTGGTACTACTTGCAGTCGCCAACTGGAGCTGACTCATACAAAACGTCATGCCAAGAAACGAGCTTCCTAACAGCACGGCGCAATAACTACAACTACACATGTCAGCAGTGCGTCGAACTAGCGCAAAAAGTATAACACACACTTCCCTAGAAGACTCAAGAGCCTCAAAGCATGAGTTTGTCAGGCGGCCGCATCTTTTTCCTTGCAGTTCTTCCGTCTGTGTTCTTGGAGGATTCAGCACAGGCAGATCTCCTGAAAAGTCTGGCTAGCGGCAGGAGGGTGGTGCCAATACACATGTCCCTGTCTACCCTACCCCCTTAGAGTGTATGGGCCTACTACAACAACCGGGATGAAGCGCGCCTGCAGCAGTGCCCAGTTCGATCTAATCCGGAGTCTTGCACAATGGGCTGCCGGGAACCAGAAGGCATTCTGAAAAGTTCACAGCAGTGAGCGTAACACCAGCTAAGCTGCAGCACTGAATGGGAATGTTTCACATCCTCAAGAAGGACTAAACCCCACACCCTAAACCCCAGAGCTTTCGTCCTGCCGCATGGCATCGCCAGCACGAAAACCTCCAGCTAGAATTGCTAGGCCGCTAAGAACTGCAGGAGCAGAGCTCCTCTGTTCCCTGGGGTCCTGCCAAAGCCTAAACCCTAAACCGCGCATCAGCGGGAGACTGTCCAAGTGGGTAGATGTCAGAAAAAGGCTGTTGGCTGAAGTTTTAGCTGAGCTAGCTGCCCTAAACCCAAAGCCCTAAAGCCTAAGCCATGAACCCAAAAGTTCGACTGCGCCGGAAGTTTGGGTTGCTGTTAAGGAACTAGAAGTAAGTTACATTGTTTACTGAAAAAAACCCATATTCTAGTAACCTATTTCAACTTCCTCAACAGGAACCCGGGAGTTTAGGGCTGTATTCTCTGTAAGTCAGGCCTTTGGACTCAGCGTCGGTGAGCTTTGACCTTACCTCTACTTAGCTGGGAATGAACTAATGGAAAAGAAAATAAAAACTATGATAATTGAGTATTTAGGGTTTACTATGAGGATCCATTCCGCCATTCCTTGCTAACTATATGTAAGCTACACCGGTAAGCAGATGTACGATCATCTGTTTCGTTTGAGGGCTCAGGACCAAGGGATTCAGGCTCAATCATGAGGGTCGAAGGCCTCGGGGCATATCTTACCCAGTAGGCGTTGCCGAATCTTTCAAGGGTCCAACAAGGACTTGCACAACATTCTTAAGCATGTCGTATATGCCATCCTACCCATCCTGGAGGAACCTATATGTCCAGCTTTGGCTGCTTGCCTTTAGACTGCCATTTCAACTCAGTACTCATACAAGTATCAGTATTACGTGGACTGCTGCTCTCAACTCAGAACCCTGAAGTCCAGCAATCCAAATGGGCTAGCGAGAAAAAGCAGAATATTACCTGTTACTCTCCACTGGCCCCCAACCCTAAATCCTAAAACCTAACCATAAACCCTAAACCCCCTAAACCGGTAAACCCTAAAACCTAAAACCTAGGCCCAAGATCCACCAAGCTCCCAGCTGCAGCAAGATTGTGGCTTGTGCTTTGAGCCGAGGCATACCTCTGCAAGCAACACTTGAGGTATGGGTTTAGGGTTTAGGGTTTAGGGTTTAGGTTTTTAGGGTTTAGGTTTTAGGGTTTAGGGAAAGGGTTTAGTTAGGGTTTAGGGTGCTTGGTGTAGCTTCAGGCCTCACATCCATGGAAATGTTGACCATACGTGCACTTGGTGTAAAAGTGATTCTCAGCGAGGCCTTGTAATATTACCCACACCCCTCGGAGGATCAAAAAAATAGATCCCACGCGGAGCCCCATAATACCACCTAAATAATCCCCATGGATTTCCTATTCAATTCTTGGAGATCTCTTTTTTGGATCCCTGAGGGGGTCTGGTCAATGCCACCTCGAAGTGACCAACCCATCACGCCTGCAGTGCCCTCTGTACTTGGGTTCCCTGATGGAACAAAGCAAAACAAAATGGAAAGTACCAAGGGTTATATCGGGGTTGAGGGTTTAGAGGTTATCTAAGGCACAGCTAGGGGTTATGTTGGGATAATGGAAAAGAATATGGAAACCACTATTCAATGTTTATGGTTTGGGATTTCCCAAAGTGAGGGGTGCCTTTTCCACCAGTCACTAGCTCAAGACACCTGAGGCCACGGCAGCACCATGCACACAACAAACGTTGCATGGCATGGCCCAACCTGCAAAACAGCAGAATCCAACAAAGACTTCTTGCAGCTGCAGAAGATTGCCTTACAGCGTACCGGAACTCTCAGCGCAAAGATTGCGAATGTCGCAAGCGGCGTGAGACCTGTACAGTCTATACAGCGGAATTCGCTGCATCCCGCTTTGATCGGTGGCAATGGTCTTGCAACAGTCCTGCCAAAGTCCACCCACTAAATTGCTGCACTTGTCTGCAGCACAGCTGTCACAAAGCCAAAGCGACAGCGACACGAAAAAAATATCCTGTACAACTTATGTTTTAATCGTCCAGTTAAATGATATTCAAAAAGGTGCCTATCCTTCGGATCCTCGCATTATGCTAAGTTTCCTGTGGAACCACACCTTTTTTTTCTGAGCTTTCTTGTCTTCTTGAAGTTCACCCTTAATTTCGCGTATTTTATGCCGAAGCTTTTTCTTCGTCTTCTCCCCTACAGAGCTCATCTTCTGAGTGGCTTTGGCGATCATCTGCCCTTCATTTTTTAGTCTCTCCTGCTCCTGATGGCTGAGGTATTGATTGCCAAGTGTTTTCGGCTCGTCCTCGTGGGAAAGGATGCGGCAGACCTTGAAGAGGTGGCTCCGGATCCCGTGAGCTTCGACGGCAGGGATTTCTACGGCCTCGCCTCTGTTGCAATCACCCTTCACTCGGTAGCAGTAGATATGCAGGTGCTGCCACCTGCCTTCTATCATGCCCACAACGTTGAGATGCTTCCTGAATCTATCTGGATGCCGCTCCGAATTGTGCATGGTGGCATTGACAGACCAATATGATGCATCGTGCAGAATCTGCAACCAGCGGGCAGCTTCGCTTTTGTTTGCATTGCTGCTTGCTGCAGTGTTCTTCAGCAGGCGCTCCAAGTCTGTGCAGCTAACAGATCCATCGACAGCATCATCAATGTTCTGGGCATCAGCTACAAACTGCCGCCTCTCTTTCCCGTCAGAACCCCGCCTGTAGATCACATAGCCAGTATTGCCAGGTGTTTTGAAAGGCAGGCCTTCCAACATGGACAGGTAGTGCTCCAAGGAGTTCTCAAAGCCCCAAGTGTTCACCACACGTTCAGTCTTGCATGGTTCTCCCTGAACGTTCCTCGCGCACCATTCTTCCAAGCTGGATTGGTCCTGTCTGTTTTCCCATTGCCTGTCAAACTGCTCCAGTGCTTGCTTCTTTTGGTCTCGCTTCACACGGCACATGTCCCTGTGCTTAACCTTGCTGCTGGGAGGAGCAGCATATGTCAACAGATCTGCCTCCGCCTTATCTAAATCTATCTGCTTCTGTTTGAGCTGGTTTACTAAATCTTTCCTCGTCCTGCAGCCATAATGTTGCCGCTGTGCAGTCTCCCTTTTCTCTATCTCGTCCTCATCATCTTGAAGTCTGACGAAGATCTGATGCACTTGAAGGGAGACCAGACTCTTATTGACATTTTTTCCCGAGGATTCTTCCTCTGGATAGATTACATACTGGACTTCCTGAAAGCCCAGGCGAAAACATTCCATTGACCATGCAGAGATCACTCGGATCCTAGATAGGCTGGGATCAGCCCAGCTGGTGCCGAGGTCAATCTCAACAAACTCATTCAGAAGTACAACCGGGGCACTTCCTGTCTCAGCCATGGCCACGCGTATCCGCCGGAGCAGAAAAGAAGAAGGATAGTCGACGACCGACTACGGATTTTTGTGTGTATCTGAGCCAATGCCCACACATCCAGGAGACTGCCAATCAAAACAAGGTTTGGAACTCTGAAGGTTATCTTCAAATCTAAGCCCTAGGCCGCATGGAGGTATATAGCATGCTCAAGGCAACACGGATGCTTTGCAAGCAGGCAGCTCGCTTTCTGCAAATCAAATCCTAAACCCTAAACCCTAAAACCTATTGGTGCTTAAGGGGCGGTGGGAGTGCGAATATAGGTACCCCTATAAGGGCATATATGGGGATTGTAAAGCAAAATTACAGGGGTCCTCTCCCCCACTCTCTTAACCCTAACCCCAAACCCTAAATCCCAAACCCCATTACAGGGATCCACTCCCACATTCTCTTAAGCAAGGAAGTAAACCAAATCTCAAGGATTCAGCAGGATCCCCCAGAACAGGCCCGCTAGTGCTGCTCGAAGTTGGGGTTTCCCAAAATTCAGGGTACGATTCAAGGGGACTCTAGGTGATGTATGGGGTTTCTTAAAATTAGGGATACGATTGAAAGGGGACTATAGGGGATGTATAGGGTTTGGGGTTTCGGTTGTCCCAAAATTAAGAGTACCATTTGGGGGGTCCCCATAAAAAGGATTATTGTACTTTGGGGGTTCTACATTGGGTCTCCTTTTATGGAAACTGCTAAGTCAGCTGTTCTGCGTTTGCTGGAGACTCGGACGCTCACCAAACATAGCACGAGACCTGCCTGGAAAGATAATGCCAAGTGTGCGCCCGGCTTTCTCACCCTGCGCTCCTCCGCATTTGACGTCTTAAAACAAGCGGAAGTTAACACTCACTCATGTGCGCATGCGCCGGACTTGACTTGCTGGCGGGCTATAATAATCTCTATACCATTCCCATATTTCCCCCCCCCCTCACCATACCAGATTCACTGGCCCCACTTCCCCTTAAGCACTAGCAGGGTGAGCTTAATCATCCTAAACCCAGAACCCTAAACCCTGAACCTTAAACCCTGAACCTTAAACCCTGAACCCCAATCCCTGAACCCTAAAGATGAGGCATGAGCTATATAGTATCCCCTTAATAACCCCTATAGTAGTCCCCTATATAACCCCTATATAACCCCCTTTAAGGAGTTTAGACTATAGCTCACATGAGTTGCTATGCTTTCATCCCATGGTGCCATCCCTCCAGTCCTGGAAGACTCGCAGAGGTTCCCCGTGGTTCGCCGTACCTGCAACAAAGACGTGAACGGGTGCCATGTGAGCTATGGTCTAAACTCCTTAAGGGGGGGTTATATAGGGGACTATATAGGAGACTACTATAGGGGATATTAAGGGGGATACTAGGAGTTTAGACTATAGCTCATGTGCAAGATGTCATCATGGTGGGCACGCATGATTCTGAGTCTACCACATGGGTGGCTGTCAAAATTATGGTCCCTTTTTGGATCCCTGTTCTAATACGGCTTTAGGGCACCCAGAAAGGGACCATAATTTTGACAACCACCCACACCTTGCTCTCTTGTGCTCAGCTCTTAAGATATCCAGCATGTTGCCCGAGCAAGGTCAGGCTTGCCAAAGTCTTGCTGATCCTTGCAGAGCTCAAGGTGCCTGCTTTCGCAAGTTCACCTGTCACGGGGGTCATTCACACTCCACCTCAGATGAGCTCCTCAAAATCCTCAACCGACGTGATGTGCGATGCCTTTCGGAAGGCTGCCAGTCCCTCAAGGGGGGTCCACCGAAGAATGGGGGACTCATCACTGTCAGGAAGTTGCGGAGGTAGCCGCATGCCACCCAACTTGGGCAGCTCACTTGTAAAACACTCTCATAGCCTGGGTGGCATGTCGTCTACCTCAGCTTCAAGCAAGGTATCTTGCTATGAGGCAGGTTTTAGATGGCGAAAACTAGCATGAGCGCGTGCCTGTCACTGCTTGCGTCATCATCATCATCATCATCATCATCATCATCATCGTCGTGGCTTGCATGGCCTGCAGAGTCACAGAAGGATACTGGAAGGACTCCTTGATTCCTGATAGCAAACGACAACGTAAACGTTAAAACGATCAACACAACAACAACAACAACAACAACAACAACAACAACAACAACAACAACATTGGCGCTGACAGACATTGAGAAAGATCATAAGCTCCACGGTGCTGATAAGGACCGACCAGAATACTGGCGGCGAGCGTGGTGATGGCAACGATGCATGCGATAGGTGCAAGAAGTCAAACTAAACTCCTAGCATCCCCCTTAATATCCCCCATAGTAGTATAATTCCCTATTAATATAGCCCCTTTAAGGAGTTTAGACTATGGATCACTTGATTCATGGTAGCCAGCACCTTCAGGCCCATACTGCTAAAGCAGAGATGGAAGACTCTCTAGGCTGGTGTGATGGGGGACTACATCATCTGGGCCCACTTTTGGAAGTATGAATGTCTTAGGGTAGTAGTAATACTAATAGTACTAATAGTAGTACTAGTAGTAGTAGTAGTAGTAATAGTAGTAGTAGTAGTAGTAGTGGTGATCACAACCACTGGTCTCTGCCCAGCTGCATTGCTTGCAAGGCAGGGATCGGCTGCGGAGGTTACAAAGGCAATCCCGGCAAACACAATGCCCACACGGAACCAGCGCCCAGCTGACGTCCTTGTTCTCAAAGCAAACCTGAGATTGGTGAGCACTTCAGCTAGGCGTTGCTGGTTGGGAAAGCTACTTGCAGCTACAGGGCATAAGGCCCGCTATCACGTCCGCTGACTGGAATGAATTCCTGACATCAAGCTGAGTGGCAGGGCATTGGGGAACATCTGCCGAGGGCATGCCCACCTGTCCCAGGGCCTGCGCTTTGGCATCCTTCAGCCGTAGCCGCAGGTCGACCTCTTGTGACTCCAAGAGAGCGACCTGGTTGCTGAGCCGCCGGATCTCCATCCTTTCCCGACAACTGAGTCGGATGGTGTCTCGCAACGCCATCCTGCATGTAGCCAGCTCCTTCTGCTGGGCTGAGATCCTCTCGTGCTTCCTGTGCAGCTGGGCGTCCTTCACTTTGCGAAGGCAACGGAGGGCCTGGAGATTTTCCGGCTCGAAGTTATAGATTTCGATGAGCTTGGCCTCAGCATTTCAAAGCTGAGTCTCACGTTGGGACAGGCCGCATGGCTCAAGTATTCGAATAGGACTTAGGGGTTTCAGGTTCCAGCCGGCCTCGATGCCCTGGAGTTCCTGAACATCATTGACCACAGGCGCCGGGTTTTGCAAATCGCCACAAAATCGGATCTGGGCAACCAGATCCAAGATGTAGACGGAAGCACGAGAAGCATCAGCCCACTCGGCCCGAAGGCAATGCTGCTGGAACATATCGAAATTGGCGGAGACTGCTCTGAGGATTGCTCGCTTGGCAGCCTCTTTTGCGAAAGTGGCCGGCTTTTCCACCATACTGGCTTTGTTAGATTCTGGCTTGTAAGAGCAGGGCAATGTCTCAAACAGGCTTCTCTCAGCAAACAGATTCGCACATCAACACCGCACGGATGCGGCACGAGGCCTTCACCATATCTTGCCGTGGCGAGTGTTCAAGAACTGCTGAAGCATCACCTTCTGCAGTTGCAGGCCAAGCCGGTAGGCAACAAAAACCAGCGCAATTGATACTCAAAATGGAAGCAGCAGCAAAAGGCAGCATGCCGGTTACCCTCCTTCTAAGATTTCTTAGTCTCAGGTCTGCTTGCCCGAAATGAGCACAGCCAAGGCTCGCGTTTTGATACTCACTCTAAATCGGGGGTTCCTGAAAATTGGGCTCCCATCTTGGTGCCCCTGAAAACTCGGTGCTGTGGTGTTGTTCAGGCCCGGGCGGGGTGTTTTCGGAATAATCTAAATCACTCGGATGCAGTGCTGTGGAATCGTTCCCAGTCATGCTGGACTGCAAACGGATACTTGAACCCTCATTCCCGCTGCTTGAAAGAAAGCCCCACCAAAGTCTGGGTATCCCATCACAAAGAGGTTCAGAAACCCAGGCCAGGAAAATGGTCCAAGTCTTATCCTTCAAAACACACGGTATTGGTTTGGCTTTGGGGTGGCTATCCAGATCACAAAATTCAAAGCCCGGAACTTAGATCCAACATACCTCTACGAGGACACAGCTGTATGCCCTCGACCACAAGATGAGCCCAGCGCTGCACCATCATCCCTTCTCAACAGACATGGTCCTGCCGTGGCCATGTGGCCTCCGAAGCTACGCCGTGCTTCTGCTTACACGGAACATGCATTACAAAAAGCTGGCTTTTCCTTCCAGAGCGCTCGCAAAATGTTGAGCTACATCCCACGTTGCTAACATCTACATGCACAGGCCGTGAAGAGGACACACATTTTCGCAAAGGCCTTCTGCTTTCAATTTCATGGACATGGCACCTGCTGGGGCTGCTGGACCGTGACAGTCGGGCTACCTTGGCCGGCGCAGCGCAGTCCATGTTTCGGGCTGTGACGTGCGACCCTGTGCGTGGGAAACACATGGCAACCAGACTGCAAGTTACGCCTGGCGGCTTCATCCAAAACATGCGGCTGACTGAAGCTGACAGACCTGTGCTAGCCCCAGCACTCCCCTGCCCTGCCCTACCGCCCCCTAGGTTGGAAGCAGCAGAGAGCTACAGTGAGATACAGCCTCGTAGCGCACACTCACCAGGGACCCAGCATTCAAAGACTGAGACTGGCCACATTCAGCGCATATTTGGCGGGAACTGTGGCAGATCCACAATGCGTGGCCTGAGGAGTAGCCAGGCTTACATCCGAGAATTTGGAAGCAAAAAACAAGCCGCATCAACCGCTCAAACAGCTCGGAACAAAGTCGCAACAAAAACAAGGAATGCGAGACCTCAAGGCGCGGCATGTATTGAAACTCCAAAGCAGCGTCTTTCCAGTTTCAGCCGCTTGAGCCCGCGATACGTTTGTGTGTTGAACTATACTACTAGGGGATTCTGCAGAAGCTCGGGAAGGCTCGGTAGAATTCTGTGTGGGGCTTGTTCCATCCAATTCGAGCTGACCCCTCCAAATTTCTCGTCGAAACCTCAACAGCCCAAGTCAAACACAGAGATGGCGAAATCCCATGTCACCGTGCCCTTGGCTTGCGTGTCAAAAACTAAGTCCTTGACTGTACCATGATGGACTCAGGAATACAGCAGGGGCTGGGCTGGAGTTTGCCTGCAACCACCGGGCCTGCAACAGTGGGGCCATTGAAGCATGAGGGCGTGCCTGGCCGTAACCGCCCACGAACACTCCGTAAGCACAAACGGTGGGTTGGGAGATCTTGTGAGAAACTGCATCCCATGCACTGCCCGATCTTTGCTCCCCACCTCGGCGTGTTTCTTGTGGTGTTCCGGGCTCGCGGGCTCACTGCCGGCGAGCCACGAACCTGGCAGGTGCAATTGATGCTTGCCTTGAGGGGCATCTTCCTGTACCACTATACACAATGTGTATTTGAAGTGTATCTATATATACATATATATTTACCTATCTATCTATTCATATACACATCTATCTACATGTCCATCTATCTATTTCTACGCATGTGTATCAACGTCTACGTGGATACTTAAAATCACGTATACTGCTTGGACAGGCGCAGCCCCTAGATCTTGAACAGCCCTTTCACGAACCAAGAATACAACAGTGGCAACGGGTGATGCAGGCGTCAACTTTTAGCTGGTTGCTGGCAACGGTCTGCCCGCAGAATTATTCGTCTGAGGTCAGCGCGCTGACATCTTGAGAGCGCGTACAGATGAGGGAACTCGAAAGTTGTCGTGAGCAACTGCGCTTGGGGATGAAAACGGCTGCCGATGGGGTGCTTGCTTGAAATGACCGTGAGCACCGTTGTCTTCAGTGAGACTGCATATGAGACCTGAAGCCTGATCGTCAAACGAAGTGAACATCAAGAGTGAAGCTTTTTGCGCAGATTCAGGCCAGATGGGGGACTACGTCAACTCTGTGGTGGGGGACCTGCAAAGCTGGCCAAGAGGTTTCACGGCTCACGCACGTAGGCATCGAGCACCTTGGGCTCATGTGGCTGCGTCCTGTCCTGAGCAGCACATGTGACGCGTGAATGTCTCGGTGTTCTCGGTTGTCCACACATTAAGCATCGTACTCTCTCATCTTCCATTCTTTGTGTCCGCCTACAGGCAGACCCCGCAGTTGAGAAAGCCTGCATCTTCCACGGCTTCGACCTGCTGCAGGCTGCCACGTGCTCTAGTTATCGGTCGTCTGTCCGAACTTCAGCAGCTGTACTAAGGGATTTCCCAAAAATAGTGATACCATTTTGCAGGTCTCCACAAAAAGGATGATAGTATATTGGGTTCTATATTGGGGTCCCCCTATTTTGGGAAACTACCACTTCCCCGTGCCCAGTGGTAAGCCTTCTTGAAGCCAAACCTCAGAGCACAAGGCACAAGCTGCCTGCGAGTCGAGCCATGCTTCCCAATTGAACAGAGCATGATGAAACTGGGCTGCTGTTAGGGAACTTAATTTGAGTTACTGCAATAGGGTATATACGGGGTTTCTATAATGGGGTATATCGGGATATATAGGGTTTAGGGCTTCGGGTTCAGGAACTTAGTTTAAGTTACTGTATCGGGGAAACCATATACATTACTATATATATATATATATGCCCATAATGGTAACCTACTTTAAGTCCCTTAACAGCAACCCAGGAAAGCGTAAAGCTGCAGATGCTCAGTTTCATCCTACATCTCAGGAGAGTACTGACCTGATTGCACCAGATCGACCTGCTGCCATAATCCCTCCCCTTGTAAGAAAATCCCACCCTTCTGCTGCTGCTCATGATTCTTCGGTTATTCTTTAGTTTGGATTGTTCAAAGACAAGTGTTATGCTGCCTCCGCGGACTCGGGCGTGGGCTCTGTAGCCCGAAACACTGGGCGGCCTGAGTGCATCAAGAATTGCAGTTGCCAGCAGAGGATCGGCGCACATCAGTTGGTGGGGTGTAGGGTGTGGGTGCACAAAACAATACAAAACCGCACACAGACAATGGCAGAGAACAGAGAAGTAGTAATCCGCGCCTTTTTTGGGTGTTATCTGTGTCTCTTTTTTGTTTTTCTTCGGTGGGTAGTGGTGTTATCTGTGTCTTTTTTCCCCGATTTGCTGGGACGTGCCACATGCCTTGCTTTTGGGTTGCTCACTGGGTGGGTTGTCTGCTTTTTTTGTGTTATCTGCGTCGCTTTGTCCCGGTTTGCTGCGACGTGCAACCTGCCGCGCTTTTGGGTTGTTCTCTGGGTTTTTAGCAACAGTAGTACTAGTAGCCATAAGTTCGAAGGGTTATCTTACTCCTTCCTGCGGTTATCTTACTCCTCTGACGGTTTTGATCTAGCTTTAATTCTGGGCTGTCCTGCTCCTGATCAAGTCTAGTGCTTTAGGGTTGACGGCTGGCTGTCTGTCATGGTTGTCTCACTCCTTTTAAGGTTACGGGTTTACTCCTTTTGGGGCTTAGGGTTCGGTTTACTCCTTTTAAGGTTTCGGGTTTCTTTCAGTGCTATCTTACTCTTTTGCGGGTTTAGGAAGCGGTTTACTCCTTTTGAGGTTCGGGGTTTCCTTCAGGCTTATCTAAATCCTTTTAGGGTTCGGGCTCGGTTTGCTCCCTTTAGGGTTCAGGGTTTCCTTCAAGATTATCTTACTGTTTGAGATTTTAAGGCTCGGTTTGCTCCTTTTAGGGCTTCGGGTTTCTTTCAAGGTTATCTTGCTCCTTTCAAGGATTGAGACTCGGTTTACTCCTTTCAGGGTTCGGTTTACTGCTGTTAAGGTTCGGAGCTTTTTCAAGGCTGTCTTATTCCTTTTATGGTCCAAGGTTTAGGGTTCACGGTTTAGGGTTTCGGGCTGTGGGTTCAGGGTTTTGGGTTTTGGGTCCTGGGTTCAAGGTTTGGGGTCTGGAGTTTAGGGTTTAGGGGTTTCTTTCAGGGTTATCTTACTCCTTTCAAGGTTCAGGGCTCGGCTTGCTCCTTTTGGGGTTCGGGGTTTCTTTCAGACTTACTCACAGTACAAATGACGTTCGTAGTCATGATCGCTCCCCGCGGATGACCAAGTGCAGTACATAGAAAGAGCTGTCCAAATCCAACCCGTATAATGATTACATAGACACCCAAAATAAAGGAAACAAAGACACAGATAACGCAAAAAATAAAGACTCGATAATGCTAGAAAAAGACACAGGTAGCTCGCAAAGCAGACAAAAACAGGCCAGTCCTTGAGACATCACACCAAAACGAACCAAACACACAAATAAATAACGCAGAACAAATCGACACCAACAACCAAAAAAAAAACTTCACAGGAAACAGTCAGAAACAATGTTTTATGAACCGACATGAAACCTGAATCCTACGACCCGATCAATGTTGACCTGCGCTGAAACAGCCGTAAGGGCCCAACGCACTCAGAGAAA